GGATGGGAGGGGGTTGCATCTCCTCCATGCCCCACCACCCCTGATAAAGCCCTGATGAGGAGCAGCTCCATCCTCACCACCAGCCAGCAGGTCTGACCTGCTGACCCCCAGGCAGCTGCACATCTCCATGAATGTACGATTATTTTGAAACCGAGATCAAGAAGGGGGAAAAAGTATATCCAAAAGCATCCAGTCCTTGCTGGTGAACACTGACTCTGCCTTTTACTGATGCTTTGGTTTTTAAAGCTGCTTTAGGTCACCTCGGGAAACTAAATCCCTTGAAAATCCTTGCTGCTTCCTCTCCCCATACCCAAAACAACCCCCCCAGTCCCCCACAAACCCCAAGAGCAATGTCAATCCCTCAAGTCACAAAAATCCTCCTGTCCTACCTTTGGCTCAAACTCTCTCCCAGAAATTGCACCCTGGGCTGGTGGTTCTGCACTCAGTCCCAGCCCAGAGCTGGATGTTCAGAGAATCACAGAACCATAGAATGCTTTGGGCTGACAGTGACCTCATAGATCATCAAGTTCCAATGCCTCTGCATGGGCAGGGACACCTCCCAGCAGCCCAGGCTGCTCCAAGCCCCATCCAACCTGCCCTTCAACACCCCCAGGGATGGGGCAGCCACAGCTTCCCTGGCCAACCTGGGCCAGGGGCTGCCCCACCTCACACTAAAGAACTTCCTTCTAATGTCCCACCTAAATCTCCCTCTTCCAGCTTTAATCCATCAGAATTTCTCCCTCCCATCTCAGCTCCAGCTCCCTCTGCCAGCTGGAAACCCTTCCCCCTGCTCCCATCCCTCCCTGCCCTTGTCCCAAGCCCCTCCCCAGCTTTCCTGGAGCCCCTTCAGGCCCTGGAAGGTGCTCTAAGGTCTCCCTGGAGCCTTCTCTTCTCCAGGCTGAACACCCCAACTCTCCCAGCCTGGCTCCAGAGCAGAGCTGCTCCAGCCCTCCCAGCATCTCTGGGGCCTCCTCTGGCCTCTCTCCAACAGCTCCGTGTCCTTCCTATGCTGGGGACCCCAGCCTGGCCCCAGCCCTGGAGGGGGGTCTCAGCAGAGGGGACAATCCCCTCCCTGGCCCTGCTGGTCACACTGCTGGTGACACAGCCCAGGACATGGGGGTTTCTGGGCTCCAGCACAAGGTGCTGGCTCATGTTGAGCTTCTCCTCACCCAGTACCCCCAAGTCCTGTTCCTCAGGGCTGCTCTCCATCCATTCTCCCCCCAGCCTGTGTTTGTGCTTGGGATTTCCCCAACACCCATGGACAGGCTGAATCAATCAACCTTTGCTGAGGTGCTGACACAGGACTTGTTGCACTCAGATAAATGAAACAAAAATAGACTGGACCAAGCATTTGAAATAGGATGGATCTGGGCTGGGGAAAGGCTGCCTAGGAAATGCTGGTGCTTCCAACAGCAGCAGAAACAGGGACTTAAGCACCGTGATGGGTGGAACCAGCATCTCCCAGCACCAAAATTAAACTATTAACTGAGAATTAGGCAGCAGCTTGAGTCAAGTCCAACTCCTGGCTGCCAGGCATCACCTACTGGCTTGTTCCATCTGTGTTCTCAGCAAAGAGAAGTTCATGTAACTTGTTCTTTAAGGAATCCCAATAATGGAGATGTCAGAGTCAACCCACCAACCTGCTCCAGCATTTCCTAATCCTCATCCTTTAAAAGCTCTCCTTCAACTCTTCATGAAACAATTTAAGCCTCTTGTGTTTTGCCTGCTGCACCTGTCCATGGAGAAGACACCCTTTCTTCACTTGGCAGCTCTTCCTGAGCTTGGGAACCTGCAGCTCCTCCATATTCTCCTCCTCACAGATCTGGGTCCTCCACTCTTCCAGTCCTTTCATCCATCATTTCTCCCCTGGACCATTCCCAGTGGTCTGTCCTGAAACCTGGCCCCAAAATTGGACCTGCTCCATTTAATGTCTTCCCTGCCCACATCTTGGGGGTTTCACCCCTCTTCTTAAACTTTGGTGACAGCTTCAACTCCTGGGGATGGTGCCTGGGGCAGAACCAGCCTTGAGTTGGCTATTCCTTCAGTAGAGACTCATCCATATAGAAGGCATCCCATGGTTTCAAGGCATTTCTCCCATTTTTTGGCTTTAACAATGGATCCTGACAGCAGCTCTGCCAGGGAGGCTCCAGCAGTGCCTGGTCCCAAGAAAGGCAGGAGGAGTTCAGGGACTCAGACACTTGGGAAATTCTCCCTGCTGTTAGCAAAGCTCTTCAAGAAACCTGACATTGCTGACTCGAGGCTTTGCTTGGTCTACAGACCCCAAGTTTGCTTTATCTACAGACCCCAAGTTTACTTTATGGCTTTTGTTTTTTATTTCCACACTTCCAAAGGCTGATCCTTGCCCATCCTTCTCCAGCCTCAGCACAAAAGCCAAGGATTTCACAGCTCACAGGTGGGATTGCAGGCTTTGAAACCAACCATATTAGCACAGGCTCACAAGCATGAACGTACCTCTTTGCAGAGCCAGCAGGGAGGAGGACCAAAAATCTGTCCTGAGCAGAGCTGAGTTGCAAAAAAAACCCCAGCAAACCATCCCCAAATGGCTGCTGAACATCCTTTTAATGCTCTCAGATGGGACATAACCTGAAAGTGATGCTCCATTGGCTCCGTGTCCCCTCGGCCACCAAAGCATCCTCATCTCTGCCATCTTCTGCAAGCATCTTCATTTTTCCATCCCCTGGTGGCTGGGACAGCTCATCCAGAGTTTAAGCTAAATCTCTGCCCTCCTCCCCACCACAGCAGTACCAATTTCTCCTCCCTGGCTGTCCCTCTCCTTCCTGCCTGTCCCTCATTTCCCTCTCTCCATTTTCTCTCCAACACCATCTGCACGGAAGCATTGAGGGGTGTAGGGGGGGTTATTACCTCTTTATTGAGATGTTGATGTTTGCTCCTAATTTTCCTCCTGCTTTTCCAACTTCCCAGGGCTGCTCAGCTCTCCTGCTGACAGGACTTTTGTGCCAGCAAAACCCTTCCCTCCTTAATCCCTGTTCTTTGGGGGTTTAAACCTACCCAGGACACCCCACCACGCTCACATGAATTAGGGGGTTACACCTCCCAGTGACACTGAGCTATTTTTTGCTTCTTTCCCACCACACAGAGAAGAACTTGAGCCTCATTTATGGCATCATACATAGAATCATAGAATGGTTTTGGTTGGAAGGGACCAAGAAGATCATCTAGTTCCAACCCCCTAGAAAGGGCTGGGACACCTCCCACTAGACCAGGTTGCACAAACACCTCCAGGGAGGGGGTTATCCACAACCCCCCTGGGCAATCTGTTCCACTGCCTCACCACCCTAAATTCATGAACACACTCACCTCTCACCCTTCCAGCAAAGAAAAAACAACAGCACAAAGCCATTGGTTTTGCCTTTTCCAGCTTAACTGTGCCCAAAACCCATCAATAAAGAAGTTACAAAGCAAAACATATTTGACACCAAGTAAAAACTCAAAAAAATACTTTAAGCACAATGAAAAACCTGGTTGTGTCTAAGAGCTGGGGCTGAGGTATCAAGTACAAGAGGAGATAAACCACAAATGTAATTAAAGGCAAATGTAAAGCTGGGAACTGTGTCCCTCCTGGCTTTTCTTAGCTTAATATTAATGTAATCATAAAATGGTTTGGGTTGGAAGGGACCTTAAAAACCATCTAGTCCCCCCCCCCCTGCTATGAGCAGGGACCCCTCCCACCAGACCAGGCTGCACAAGCCCCATCCAACCTGGCTTTGAACACCTCCAAGGATAGGGCTTCCACAACCTCCCTGGGCAATCTATTCCAATTCCCTACCACCCCCCACTAGATCAGGTTGCTCTGAGCCTCATCCAACCTGACCTTGAACACTGAATGTAATTTGGTGAGCATCTCAACTATGTTGAACCTCACGGTGCTGTTAGAAGCTGCCAAAGATTTTGCTCAGGTTAAAAAAATAGAAACAAGTTTAACAACATGTCTCTACAAGCTTGAGCTAAGCCTGAAATAACCTCATTTTTTTAAAAAAAACCTTGCATTTCTTCCACATTATTTTTCCTCCAGTGCCACCATGAAACAAGAAGAGCTGGGGGATGCACTCTGGCAATGATGGGATGCCCATCAGCTTTGTGTCTGGGCTCCTGAAAGGATGAGTTGCAACAGGTGGGTTGGGAATAAGCAGCTAAAAGCCAACCTCAATGTCCAAACCAGGATGGCCTTGGATTTTGGATGGAAACCAGGACAAATTCTTGCTGCTCACCTGCTCTGCCAGGACTCTTGGTGCTGAGTTCTCTGGCCCGGATGGGGGTGCTGGAAGTCTTGGAGAGTTTATTGGCTGACACCCTGTACATCACCCCACCGATGCAGCAGAAGCCTTTGCTCCTCCATCTCTGCTGCCCCTGCTGGGATTTGCTGCCCTGAGGTGATGGGCGAGTTGGGTTTAACTGTGGGGACCTGCAAGAAACCAGAAAGCCAAGGTAAGCTCAAAACATCAGGGAAGAAGCTGCTGCTTCCTGAGTAAATCCTCCGGTGTCTGTGGATGGAGGTGATGAATGGAGGAACCAGGGATGTTCTTGCTGGAGACTGAGGAAAAGCTCTGATTCTCTGGGATTCATACCAAAACCAATCCTCAAGGACTCTCCTCCAGGTACCACTTCCCAGAAGAAACAAAAAGCCATTTCTTTCCCCCATCTTGTCCATGGCAATAACAGAACAGTTTAGGTTGAAAAAGACTCATCAAGTCAAACCATTAAGCCAGCACTAACAAGTCCACCACTAAACCATGTCCCTCAGCACCCTATCTATATGGCTTTTAAACACCCCAGGGATGGTGACTCCACCACTGCCCTGGGCAGTCAGATGGGATGCCCATCAGCTTTGTGTCTGGGCTCCTGAAAGGATGAGTTGCAACAGGTGGGTTGGGAATAAGCAGCTAAAAGCCAATCTCAATGTCCAAACCAGGATGGCCTTGGATTTTGGATGGAAACCAGGACAAATTCTTGCTGCTCACCTGCTCTGCCAGGACTCTTGGTGCTGAGTTCTCTGGCCCGGATGGGGGTGCTGGAAGTCTTGGAGAGTTTATTGGCTGACACCCTGTACATCACCCCACCGATGCAGCAGAAGCCTTTGCTCCTCCATCTCTGCTGCCCCTGCTGGGATTTGCTGCCCTGAGGTGATGGGCGAGTTGGGTTTAACTGTGGGGACCTGCAAGAAACCAGAAAGCCAAGGTAAGCTCAAAACATCAGGGAAGAAGCTGCTGCTTCCTGAGTAAATCCTCCGGTGTCTGTGGATGGAGGTGATGAATGGAGGAACCAGGGATGTTCTTGCTGGAGACTGAGGAAAAGCTCTGATTCTCTGGGATTCATACCAAAACCAATCCTCAAGGACTCTCCTCCAGGTACCACTTCCCAGAAGAAACAAAAAGCCATTTCTTTCCCCCATCTTGTCCATGGCAATAACAGAACAGTTTAGGTTGAAAAAGACTCATCAAGTCAAACCATTAAGCCAGCACTAACAAGTCCACCACTAAACCATGTCCCTCAGCACCATATCTATATGGCTTTTAAACACCCCAGGGATGGTGACTCCACCACTGCCCTGGGCAGTCACCATAGAATCATGGAATGGTTTGGGTTGGGAACAACCTCTGAGATCATCCTAGTCCCAAACCCTCTGCCATGGGCAGGGACACTGGAAGGTGCTCTCAGGTCTCCCTGGAGCCTTCTCTTCTCCAGGCTGAACACCCCAACTCTCCCAGCCTGGCTCCAGAGCAGAGCTGCTCCAGCCCTCCCATCATTTCCAGGGACTCCTCTGGACCCACTCCAATAGCTCCATGTCCTTCTCATGTTGGTGGCCCAAGCCCTGCAGGGGGGTCTCACAAAAGCCAAACAGAGGGGCAGGATCACCTCCCTTGATCTGCTGGTCACGCTTATGATGTGCAGGGGGGTCTCACAAAAGCCAAACAGAGGAGGGTCTCACAAAAGCCAACAGCAGATCCCTTGATCTGCTGGTCATGCTTATGCTTATGCAGCTCAGGACAAGGTTGGTTTCACAGAGTCACAGAATCTTAGGGGTTGGAAGGGACCTGGAAAGATCATCTAGTCCAGCCCCCCTGCCAGAGCAGGATCACCCAGAGCACATCACACAGGAACGTGTCACGCAGAGCCCAGGGCTCTGTCACTCTCCCAGGAAAGAAATTCTTCCTGATGTTGAGGTGAAACCTCCTATGTTCCAGTTTGCACCCATTGCCCCTTGTCCTGTCACTGGACATCACTGAACAAAGCCTGGCTCTGTCCTCCTGACACTGCCCTGAGCATATTTGTGCCCATGGATGAGGTGGCCCCTCAGTCTCCTCTTCTCCAAGCCCAACAGACCCAGCTCCCTCAGCCTTTCCTCATCAGGGAGATGTTCCACTCCCTCCATCACCTTTGTGGCTCTGCCCTGGGCTCATGGTGAGGTCACAGGGCCTCACCTGCCACCCAAACCCCCCATGGTTCATGCCACACCATCCCCTGCACCCCCCACCTCCCACCCACCCTGCAGGGAACCACCCAGACCCCGGTACCACAGGCAGAGCCCTGGCAGCCAAACCACATCTCCAGCATCAGCCGCTTCCCTCATTAAGCTAATCCAAACAGCAATTTGTTTATGCAAATCAGAGCTCTCATTTTGTATTAGCCCAGACTCTGCCCATAATGCCATTAGCAGAATGTCACTAAACCACCCGTTACTGGCAAGGAGCTGTAAATTAACCCCCACTCTCCTATCAGCAGGATGCAAACCCTGGAGAGCATTACCTTGAAATGAGCATGTGCTGCAAAGGAAAAGAGAATTGTCAGATGCAATAGTTGCACTTCCTGGTGCTCAGCCTGGCAGCCTGTTCATTCCCTTGGGCTGCTGCCACTGGCTACTGAGCTCAGAGAATTGTCCCCTTGGTTCCTTCAGAGGGGATGGGGAAGGCACCAAGAAGCTGCTGCCCCTGCTTCCTGTTTCCCCCCCTAAAAGGGTTTGGTTGTGGTGAAACTGCTCCAGGGAGGAGCATCAAGTCTTAATTTTTACAAGATCAGGTTATTTATAAATAGCCATCATGGTGGTGTCATTGTGTGCAGGTATTGGTGGCAGAAAGGTCACCAGGGTTGCCCATGGACCACTCAGCAGCTCTCAGCTAAACCCTGGAAGACCAAGGTTGCAACCAGAGTTGGCTGTAGGACCTGGAGAAAGGTCTCTTGGCCATATCAGTGGCCTCATGCAGCCAATAAAAATGATACCAAGTACTTCTTCACTGGGCCCCTCAGTTCCAGAAGGACAAGGAACTGCTTGAAAGAGCCCAGGGCAGAGCCACAGAGATGATGGAGGGAGTGGAACATCTCCTTGATGAAGAAAGGCTGAGGGAGCTGGGTCTGTTGAGCTTGGAGAAGAGGAGACTGAGGGGCAACCTCATCAATGGTCACAAATCTGTTCAGGGCAGTGTCAGGAGGACAGAGCCAGCCTTTGTGCAGTGATGTCCAGTGACAGGACAAGGGGCAATGGGTGCAAACTGGAGCACAGGAGGTTCCATGTGAATCTCAGGAAGAACTTCTTTCCTGTGAGAGTGACAGAGCCCTGGGACAGGCTGCCCAGAGAGGCTGTGGAGTCTCCTTCTCTGGAGACATTCAAACCTACCTGGATCCTGTGTGATGTGCTCTGGGTGACCCTGCTCTGGCAGGGGGGTTGGACTGGGTGATCTTTCCAGGTCCCTTCCAACCCCTAAGATTCTGTGACTCTGTGATTCTTGGTCAGCAGGTTGAGTAAGGGGATTCTACCCCTCCTCTCCACTCTGGTCAGACCCCCTGGAGCACTGGCACAAGACTGACATGGACCTATTGGAGTGAATCCAGAGGAGGCCACAGAGATGATGGGAGGGCTGGAGCAGCTCTGCTCTGGAGACAGGCTGGGAGAGTTGGGATGTTCAGCCTGAAGAAGAGAAGGCTCCAGGGAAACCTTAATGTGGCCTTTTAGTACTTAAAAGGGGCTTCTAAGAAAGATGGAGACTTGTTATAGCAGGGCTTGTTGCATCAGGAGAAGAGCTGATGACTTTAATCCATATGACAGATAATTAATTGACAATATTACATACAGATTATACAGACTAATATAAAGATGCTTTTATATAACTACCTATACCCTAATACCTATCTATCAATTACCTCTATAATACCAATAGATATTATTGAATATATACACTGGATAAACATGTTGAATTAAATAAATATACAGTAATACTTAAGAGACATTCAATATATATAGTCAATATATAAATTCAATAATATCTACAGATGATTGATCAATATGAGGCCCAGATCATACTGTTATTTTTAGTACTTTATATTATTCAGAAATTACTGAATATTGAATACATCTTGAATTACATACATTCAGAAATATCTAGAGATGATAGATGCAGTGTCTGACTATTATTTTACATAGATAATAATCCTATATTAACTATTTGCTTTCAATCAGTGCAAAGGGAGGGATGATGCCCCAGGCACACCCATGGTCCCTGCTCAGGTTTGGAAGGAGGGTCCAGGCTTGAGGCAGCACCCAGGACCTGCTGTGCTGGTGTCTCCCAGCCCTGATGATCCTGGAGGTCCCCAAGGATCCCAGAGGTCCCCAATGATCCTCAATGATCCCTGGTTGTGCTGGCACTGGGAACCCACCACCCTCCCAGAGGTGGAGCATGGAGGGGAAGGCACCCAAAGCTCTGGATCCATCAGGAGCAAAATCTCTTTACTGCCCCCCAATCCAAAGTTCCAGAGAAAGCATTTAACAGATACAGCACATAAATATAGAGAGAGACCATTTATAGGTCTCTATATAGAGATCTATAAACACAGATTATATATAGACCATATATAGATATATAGACCATATATATACATGTCTCTGTATAGTTGGCTAAAAACCTACATATTATATATCTGCATATAATCTGTATTTCTCTAAATAGGTTATATTTACACACCTATTTATATCTCTGTGTACACCTACATCTGTATCTATGTCTAGGCAGGTATTATATGTATGTATTGAAAGACATATTATAATATTATGCATCCTACAGGCTACACAGATTATATATTAAAATGTATCTATATAGTTATATAGACAACTATATTTCTATATATTCTGTGTGTCTATACAGATACCAATATATATTGATATATTGTATATATAACTATATGTAGAGTTATATATTAGAGATGTTTTCTGAAATTTCTATGTATATTTCTACAGAGATGTCTATATATCTATATAGATACACAGCTATATTTTATCTATGTGTCTGCTTTATTACCTTTAGAGAATACATATTCCTATATAGTGAATACAAACAGAATTATACTTATTCTTTAATATACACTATATTTTCATACCTATATAACTGAAATAACAACATCCAGGCTGTGTATCAAGATATTCCAACCATACAAACCCCCTCACACCAAAGCTCCAACACACAGCACACTCCAAACCACCAGCTTTTCCATGGCTTTTGGTTCTCCTTGCCCATCCCTGGGCAAGCCCCCTGGGCTTCACACACCCCAAGGGGTCCAGAGAAGGGCCACCAAGAGGATCAAAGACCTGGAGCAGCTCTGCTCTGGAGCCAGGCTGGGAGAGTTGGGGTGTTCAGCCTGGAGAAGAGAAGGCTCCAGGGAGACCTTAGAGCACCTTCCAGGGCCTGAAGGGGCTCCAGGAAAGCTGGGGAGGGACTTTTCATCAGAAAAGACAGTGACAGGACATGGGGGGATGGTTTTAAATTGAGAGATTCCCAGAGCTGTGTACAACTTGTCTTTGGTTGTTTTTTACTGGTATTTCAACCATAAGAAGGTGTTTTCCCCCCTCAGAGGTGGCCTCCTCCACCTTTTGATCCCCAGAAACTGGAGGTGCAACTTTGCAGGGGGGTGAGCAGGGGGGATGCAGCCTGGGGCTGGTGGGACACCCCCTGGCTGTAGGGGTTCATGTCATAGTGGGGGGTCCTGGTGCACACACCAGGGGAGAGGAGATGCTGATCACCAGGAAGTGCTGCTGCTGCTGCTTCACAGGGGATTTCAGCAGCTGAACACACACATTTACTATTTTTAGGGTATTATTCAGTAGAATATTTCTTATATTTATTATTTATATCATTTTCTAATATATTTCATATATTCATTATATTTATG